TTTATTGAGAGGACAGAAAAGCTCCCACAGTGGGAGGGGACCTGAAGGGGTTGCCCTTGAATTGCATTCTTAATGACTTACAATGACCAATCAATTTACCACAAAATAGAAGAATGAGTGTGGGAAAGAAAAGAAGCAGCAGAATATTTTGGTAAACTTTAAATAGAAGTCATTAGCCAATCTTCTAATAAACTGTATTTCCTTTACATGATAATAGGGATATGAACAAAGTGCTGTGTGTTTTTGATGATAATGGCTAATTGGTTCTTAGAATATCAGCTCTGAGAGTATACTTTGAAATAGTATTTTTTTTTACTGAATGAATTCTTGCCTTGATTTTTATTTGATCATTAAATTTTCTTTTAAATTTGAATAAAGATTGGATGTTTCTATATAAAACCTTCATCTGTAATACTTCAAGTAGTAAGTTATTTTAAACTAATAAATGTCTGTCAACGAAATTAAAATTTTATTGTAACAAGGACTGTAACTTCCTGAATGTATTAGTTACTGAGTATTGAAAATTTTTTAGTTATATATTTAAAATTATTCAATTTACTGAAGACAAGATACAATTACAATTAGCCTACATACCATAAAAGGACAAAATATCATACAGACTGTAATTCCAAGTCACTAGCTAACATATCTGTTTCTACAACTGAACAATTCCAAGGGTAATATGTTGCCAGACTCCGTTTACTGGCCTTGAAGGTATAAATCAAGAATGGTGAACAGTGCATGAAAAAGACTAGGCCCATCTTTCTGGCATATTTACTCTAATTTTCTCCATTCAATTCAGTCAAAGTAAATTATTTTATTTGCTTGTCATATATATACATTTTGTGATTCACTTTATTATATAATGGTGACAGTTTGTGTTGAAATAAATTTGTTGTATGCTGGGAAAAAATTGACTCATGGAATGATAGAATTTTGAAGTTCTGAAGGATCCTAGAGATTAATCTAACTTCTTTTTACAAATGAAAAAATTAAGACTTAAAGGACAGAAGTGATTTGACCAAGTTTATAGTCTTAACCTGGACACCCAAGAGTTCTATCTTAGTTCTAGTCTGATATTTGTAATCCTAAATTCCCTGTATTTGTTTTACCAAGGAATGGAAACAAACAAAAAAAATCATTAAGTAAAAGTGCTAATCCAAAAGAAAGGAACTAATTCAAAATATGGGCAATATATTATGTGAAATTTAAATTAAAAAATAATTTTTAAAATCTATTATAAAACAATGTGTAGCTATTTAACTTGAAAATGTTAGTGCTTAAAATTATGCATTATCTAAAACAGATCAATATTATGGTAATGATATGTTGTATATATTTTGACTTCGAATACACATTGTAAGTTTCAATAATACATACTCATTCAATAAGAGCTGTATTCCCAAGAGACCATGCTATAGTCTGTTTTCAGAAAATTTGAAGATGCTTATTAGAGTCTAAAGTTTGACTTTTTAAAAAGTATATGAATGAGATTACTGTTTAGTTTCTTGAAAGATGGTTGCTTTTTAAATGGAACCTAATACCAAAAACCGTATATATCAAGAATCTACCTATGTATGAAGTTATATGAAGTAAAGACTCTGTGTTCTAAGTTCTGATAGAGCCATAAAGTATACAAACAGCTCCAAAACAATTGCTTAAAATCATTGAATAATTAAAATAACAATATAATCAGACATTTTGGTTACTACTGCCTATAGGATGATGTATAAATACTTCTGTCTTAGTGCATTGTACTGCAATGATTTGTTGATGTGCCTGCATTTCCACCGAACTGAGTTCCTTAGGGCAACAGAAATCATGTATTAGGTAATCCCCCCCCTGTAGTATGTGGGGACTATATCAGGTATTAAGTAGTATATGGGGACTATATCAGGTATTAAGTAAATAAATAATGTTAGGTGATTGCTTGTGGTTCCTTGTCCTGTTCCACTTTGGGATCATGAGGGGTCCAGATCAACTGCAGTTTGCCTCTGTATTTCCCTACTTTTGAGTTGCCTAGCCACAAAATATTGGAAACACATGACACCTAGTCAATTTTTGTTAAATGGATTGGTGAATACATGGCTAAAATATGAACAAAGTACAGATGAGGCAAGAGGAAATTCATTGCTTTTCAGGAAAAGAGGGATGAGTTTTAGTATTTGAGTAGTGAAAGGAAGAGGAACTCAATGAATTTGGGGAAAATGGGCTTGCTGAATAGTGAAGGCTAGGTCACTACTCATCAAGTCTCATGGCCTTTTGGGCACACTCAAGAGGGAATAGTCAGTAGCACTGTGGTCAGGGACAAAAACCACTTAATTGAATACTTGAAAGGAAAGGGGAAGAATTCTGTGGGTGAAAATAGTTAAATGTATCATCGGTTCAGTTTTCTAGTAGAATTTAAAATGATTCCAGGATATATCCTTTAACTATTTTGAGGCATTAATGGCAAAAACAGCAGCTTTCTTTGACAGGTCATATTTACAATGGGCCATATTCACATTTTTAATGTTTCTGATTATTTAAAGATTCAAAAGTATTCTTATATTGTGATTTTGTTTCTTTGTTACCGCCTTGAGAGGCATAGTTTTTATATAATTCTACATGACATAGTGATGACAGCAATAGTACCTTTTTTTTTTTTTTTAAGTTTTGTAAATTCTGTAACAGGAAACAATGTATTGTAAATCTGTCACTTCCTGCAAAGTCTTTCCAGAGAGAACTGTATTTTCCAACTGAATGAACTTTACTTTAACATTATTTGTTATATTTTTTGTACCCTCTTGTTCCATTGGCTTAGTACCAATGAGATTTTCTTTATGTGATTACTTTTATTTATGCATCCATATTTTTGGTAATAATGAAATTAATTTTATATTTTTACATTAGTATATTGTTTCAAAAAGCAAAATGGTTCCTAGAAGACCATCAGCCCTACCAAAAATAAGCAAAAATAAGCAAAAAATATGAAAAAGCAGTTAAACCAACCAACCAACTAAAAAACAAACAGCAGGTTTATAAACCTGGAGGCTCAGCATTATTAATAAGAGTAATGCAACTATAATATGTAATTTCTTTTACCCAACAGATTGGCCAGTTTGATAAAAAACAGTTTTTGTGGGTATGGGGTAATAGGTAGTATAAGGAAATAGCTATTTTCATATACTGTTGGGAGGGTATATTTGGTATGGCCTCCTTTGGAGGGCAAATTGTTTTTCTCAATTTATAAATAAGGGGTCCAACTAAAGCTTAAAGAAGTCACATAAAGCATCTAAATAACACAGAACTAGGATTCAATCTTATTAGTAATATAGATATTAAGTATATATTTTTCCCAGTTTCCAATGGGATTTGAAACTTTATTTTTTATTTTATTATTGATAAAGATGATTTTCATTTTAGTATGAATACAGATAGGTTTAGCATATCAGGATAGAGCATAGTAACATTTTGAGGGAAAGAGGCTTTGGATATTTTCTTTAGATAAGGTGGAGAGTGTGGAAAAGGTTTGTGGGACTTTTCTAGAGAGGTTTTTATTGTGGTCCACAAAGGGGACACTGACTAGTGCAGAAAAAGCATGAAACATGGAACATCTGGGAAGGATGACATTGCCCAAAGGAGACAGAATGATAGAGAAATTAAAACATGGAGTTTTATGATCTGGCTTTTGGTTGACAAATTATAACTTGTAAAAGAACTCACTTGCATTTTAATTTATAATTGATTAATAACTAAAAATATTTTATATCTTTTGATTTGTTTTGTTTCTAAAAACAATGAAATATAACTAATGCATCATGGATAGGGTATTTTTAAATCAACAGAAAAGAGAGAAAGGGAAGGAGAGAGGGAGGGAAGAAGAGTCAGTGTGATTATTAGAGATTTTAGATATATGTAATAATTGGTATATAAATAAATACAATACTTATTTTGTAGTAATTGATACCAATTCTCCCTTGGTTGGTATGTTTATATATTTCTAAGTCATTTAGGCTATATGTATAATTCTTATTTTAGGCTAAGATGGCAAAATTGTCAAGCTTGATTTTCAAAGGCAAAGCTAGTATATTTTCCTCGAGTTGATTAGAGATTATTTGTGTTAGAAATAGCAAAACACTGTTTTGCACCACTTTCATGTGTTATTCTTATGATTAGCCTTTTTATAGTTGACAGATTGTTCACTGTTATTTGTCTGTGATGTGAGACTATTGGAGATTTCTTCTTAATTTACAGTATTCTTTTTAATACAGTGATGCACTTTACAAGTTTCATATTGTGATTTAAAGCAACTTTATGGAGACTTCCTTTTTTTTTGGCATAGCTAAGCCTTTAGTTAGGACTGGGGTTCTAAATTCCTTTCGTATACTGTCTTAGTATGTTTTGTTTTAGTATGATGTTTTTGAGGAGCTCTTCTTCAGCTCAGATTTATTATGTTTCTTATGCATGCTTTTAGAGGAATTTTTTAATAGTTAGTGTGTATGTATGATTGTATTTTTATGAGCTTTTCTTATAGATTAGAATTGGCTGACAACTGAACTGTATTTTACATTTTAAAAATCTGATAATTTTGATATAGTAGTTAATAAGTTTTCTGATGTATTCACTGACTTTGTTATACAAAAGCTATTGTTTTTAAGTTAAATTTGCTTCTTCAGGCATTTTAACAGACAAATTAAAAAAGTAAGCTTTTTTGAACCTTATTATCTTTCTAGCTAGTCTGTACAGCTTGTGTGTATGTATGTGTGTTTATGTGTCTGTAATATATATGTATATATTACATAATATGTATATGTTTTTATATATTATTTTTATAACTTATTATTGCCCTGATATAGTTTATGTGAAAGTTAAGGAATATGATATGTCATGATGGTTTTGTATGTTCTTTTATTGTTTTAGGGACAAGATTTAATCATGGGTATTTTATTTTGCTTTTGTAAGTCACTCAGATGATGATGTCAGTGTTTCACAAGTAATGCATTTTCTCCTTTTTACAGGTTCTATTGTTCTGCATCACAGCTGCCATGTACATGTTTTTTTTCAGGTATGTTCTACCTATTTATTTTAACATCAAAAATAGTATTGTAATTTCATCAACCATGAAACTAAAGTCTTCCCCAAATAATTATCCCCTACAAGTGGTGGTCAGCAATGAATTATTGCTCCTTCATGGGTAAAGAAAAGAGAAAGACAATGAAGGAAGATTTGCTTTTTTCCCTCACATTCTGTCTATAAGTTTCTTTTGGAAAGTTGAATATATCAATTAATAGTACTCAAATCCTGAGAAGTGAATTTTTGGTTTTTGTGGACCTGATTTTAGATATTTTTCACTTTTCTTATAAAATGATCAACATTTTAAATTTATATGATAAAAAAGTGACAGTAGGGCTCCATCTAAGCCTTCTGTGAAGGTAACCTAGCACACTAATCATAGTCTGTATAATATTATGTTTATTTGTAATGTTGAAGTTGTACTATTCATTAACACTGGTCTCTGGGGAATGTGGAAGTGGGGAAGGTGTGTTAGGATGGCCCAAGATTTAAATGTCAGTAAAGGTCAGGCATGGTGGCTCACGCCCATAATCTCAACACTTTAGGAGGCCAAGGCAGGGGATCTCTGGTGTGCAGGAGTTCGAGACCAATCAGGACAACATAGCAAGACACTATCACTATTTTCAAAAATAAAAATAAATGCCAATAAGAAGGATGTCTGTTATCTTTATATAACCACAGCAGTGTGGGAATATAATTTTTTTTTTAATTAGGGAGAGTACACTCCTTCATAATCTTCATTTTCAGTACCAATTAATTTCCATGTATTTCACTCTTATTGCACTCACTTGAACATCTCTTTCTTGATTTTCCTGGATCCAGGCAAAATTCAATCTTAGCAGGAAAGATTGGGCTTTTAAAATTAAACTTTGCACTTAATTAATAAAGGCAATTAAGGATTTTTAATAGGATATATTTGGTAGACATATTTATTTTTTAAAAATAGGACAATTCAACTACACCAGAATTTTTAGACCACTAATTTCCTGCCAGAACATCCTAATAGATATTTGATAAAACACAAGATATAATTTTAAATTATTTTTGCTTTTTCAAAAATACTATGTGCAAATATAAAATGATGATATTACTGTTATTATCCTTGTAAAGAGACAAGCCAGGCTGTTAGAAGGGGAAAAAAATTTATAAAGATTCAAGGTAGAGAGGACTTGATCTGCAAAGGATTGATAATGGGATGGATAGTATCTTTTATCAACCCTAGTGACTAAAAAATTGGTGCTATCTGGTGGTCTTTGTGAGATTGTTTGATGTATTCATTATTTTTACTGTGTATACAGATACACTGTACTACTCCTGTGGTCTCTTTCTTATATTTTAATAATTTAGGAGTGACTTGAGGGAATTGGGAACAATGACTTCATTTCATTGATTTTTAAAAACTTCATAATTTTATCCAGATATACTATTAAGACAATATTACAGAAAGTTCACATGCTATATCTTTATGTTCTGTTTAGTCTGAAGATATAGCATACCCAGTGGGGGAAATGCAATGGACAATGGGAAAAGTTAAAAAATTAGAAACATAACTTTTGTTGATGCATGGAGGAAAGTCCAATGTCAAGTACATTTTCTTTTCATGAAACTGTCTAATAGAACAAATAGTCCTTCCCCTTGTGGCACTGAAAAACAGCATATATGATTAATGTTCAGCATTTCTTAGTCATCAGGAGTTTTTGAGGTTTAAAAACAAATTGTGTGTTGAGTACACTGATAAATGTCCAATTTATAGCATGGTTCTAGGAAATTATATTTTGAAAACTGCTGCCATCAGCCTAGTATTTTTGGTGTAGAAAGAACATCAACCCTATAAATACGTGTTTTGGTGTGGAACTATGGAATCTTTTCCTGTTTCAGTTACAAAGTCTGGGTTAAAAACAACAGTTTAAAATACTTTCCAGAAGGCTCAATACAGGGTTTAAGTGCCAAGATAAACACTTTCAATTTTCTGAGAAAAGGGATTGTTTTTCTCCCAAAAGAAGCACTATCACCAAATTCAGTGTTTTTGGCAGAAGTTAGTTTGAATAACTCACAAAAAAGATTTGGTAAATGGTAAAATCAAACCACTTATAAAGTGTTACAAACAAACAAAACATTATGTTTTTCTGAACTTTAGCTTGTATTTGGAATGAACAAAAAATATTGTACATAGCACTTAGCAAGTCCAATTGCATTAGAATATTTTATTTTTAAAATTAAATTTTATTATAATACATATATTTGAGGACATTTATCCCATTTATTAACAGTTATTTTAAAATCTAATTGCATGAAATTGATCATCAAATATCAAATTATATTGTCCCCAGGACTCCATTTATGGTAATTTCCTTTGAGGATAGGGGAGAATTTTATGTACATAAGTCAGCTTGTGTTTTAATTCTAATCCATACAAGGGAAAAAGGGAAACGAGACCTCCTTTCAATAGAAAGAAAATGTTCTAATTTTTTTTTTTTCCAGAAAGAACCTGAGGAAGTAATTTCTTAAGTATTTTCTAAAGGTGTCACAGAATGTGATGGGTACAGCATGAATTTACTTTGAGGTTTTGGTATTGGAAACCATGGCTGACAAAATGTGTATCTTACCTTGCATGGCAATTAATAGCTTTTAATAGTTTTTTTTACATATATTATCTCATGTGTTGATCATGATTTTCAATTCATACACCAGAAGTAAAGCTTACGTTCAAATGGAATCCTGGGAACACTTCAAAGGCTTGGATTGGGGAAAGGTAATGTGTGAATTGAGAGCTCCAGGTCTGCTCTGACTGACTGTCCTGTCAGTCATGCAGCCATCAGGTTATCTGCTAATACCAATCTTGCTAGGATTGTTAGAAATTGAGGAAAAAGGGAGGGCAAAACACATTTTGAAGATGTTTTGAAAGAAGCCTCTTTGTATAATTCCAATGGGGCTTCTTCATAATGGTTCTGCCTCCTTTGTTCAGTCACTTTATTATTACGTGTGCTTTTGTTGTTGGTTAGGGCATTGTCTGTTACTATCAATTTAGGCCAAGTAGAAGTCGTTAAAAACTTGATAGAAAATTTTGTCGCCGGGCTCGGTGGCTCAGCCTGTAATCCAGCGCCTTTGGGAGACTGAGGTGAGTGGATTGCCTGAGCCCGCGGGTTCGAGACTCACCTGGGCAGCGAGACCTCATCTCTACAATAAAATCAAAAAATCAGCCGGGCGTGGTAGCGTGCACCTGTAATTCTAGCTACTTGGAAGACTGAGGCGGAAGGATCGCCGGAGCCCCAGCAGGTGGAGGCTGTGGTGACCGGGAGCGACCACTGCACTCCAGTTTGGGCGACAGAGTGAGACTCCAACTCAGGAAAAAAAAAAAGGAAGGAAGGAAGGAAGGAAGGAAAGAAAGAAAGAAAATTTTGTCTCTTGCGCCCCTTGAAAACATTTCTTTGCTTTCAAGTATGTATTTTTGGGTAAAGCAGCCTGGGTTTTTCAATCAAAAGATTGATTCAGGCTTGATTGGGATCTTCCCAATAGTGATGCGGAAAAAGAAATGAGTTTCCTTTTTGTTTAAGAAGCAAAAGAAAGAATCAATAACAAACACCAAGAGGAACTATTCCACTTAATCCTGCTAACAAAAACAATGAAAAATGCAGCATTTTTAAACATTAATTCACTGACTTTATTCTCAACATTAGGTATCTGTGTATGAAGAATATTTGAAAGGAAATAATTCTGCATAATTTTTCTTTAAAAATTGATTTAAAAGAATATTATAAGATGTATTATAACAACTTTGATCATAACTTAGTAAATACTAGCTAGAAATTCTTTCCACATGCCTTTGCAAAGGCAACAACAAATCCAACGGTTTGTTTAAACATGTAGATTGAATGGCTCTGTCTTGTCGTCATAGCAGTTAATCTACAGACTATATAGGGCTGATTCACAATAGATTTATGTAAAATAATCTGATGTCATCATTGAAAAGCTCAATATTTTTAGTTAGAAACCAGTGCAAGTGAAAGTTTACTGTGTTCTAAAAATACTAAGAAATGACTTTTTTTTTTGCCATTTGATGAATTCTAATTAAAATAATAATTAATGCTTTGTGAAGGCATAAATAATAAATAATTTTGTTAGTCCCAAGGTATAGATTTAGTTTATATATTTAACGAAAAACACATTGTTGGCTGGACAGCCTACAATTTTTGATTGAAAGACTTTTGTGATTGTTCTTGAATATCTTTGCATTAACTTACTTTAGTATCTTAGAAATAACTTTAACAACAATTAAAGAACTTTTGATCATAGTCTTTTAACCATTTACTGACTTTAAGTGAAAGACTTTTAATTATCAATTAGGTTCTATTTTTAAAAATATTGCTTAAACACATACAAAAACCCTGTCTTAAAAAATTATATAAGGCATTTAGATGTTCAAAGTTTTACTTCAGGATCAGGAGAATTTGACTTAAATAATTAGATGTTCTTTTAGAGATTACTTGCAGTAGTACGGAGAGTGAGTTAGGGATTTGGAGCGGGCATATGATAGGTAATGGGGGATCCTGTTGCAGTTATACAGGAGTTATGGTGAGGAGCTAACTGAAGGTTATGGTAATGTTATGGTGGAGAGTGGATTCATCAGAGATATGAGAACTGATGTTTCGATGAGGAAGAGGAAAAGCGCTAGAAGATGAGGAAATTAGAAAATAGGAAAAATGTGTTGAAATTGAGTATAGGTTTTGCAGAGACTGAGGCTGAGGTGTTTTTATGACATTCAGATAGAGAAATAATAGATATCAGTTGAGTATTTGGAACTCAGAAGAGAAATCTGGGCATGGATAGAAATGTAAGAGTTATTAGCATACAGATAATAGTTTAAATCACACAGGTAGATAGTGTTCCTGTGAGAATATGGAGAATAAGAAAAAAGGGCTCTGTTGGGTGTGGTGACTCACGCCTGTAATCCCAGCACTTTGGGAGGCTGAGGTGAGAGAATTGCCTGAGTCC